TGTTTAAAGGTGCAGCATGTAAGGGCCTACTCACACTATGCCATCCATACCGTGCCCAGGCCCGTTTCCCGGATCGTTTGAGAAGTGTAAGTGCGCTGAATCAGGCTCAAGCACAGTTCACTTGACCGGCCCTGGCCCGGTTGGAAGAGGTGTGCCTGAGCGCGGATCACTTGGGCTTTGGCGCGGTACGCTTGTGTGTGAGTGCAAGACGCGCCAAAGCCCGAAACTGAAAACGATACGTGACTTTTAAGGGGCTGTTTCATATGGATTTATTAATCATTCTTACTGTTCAGTGAACGCAAACTGCCGTAGTTTATTAAAGACGCAAACCCCTCACTACACGTCAGCTGCGCGCCTTCAGCAGACCTCCTCATTCCTGCAGCACGAGGGCTTTATGATTGTTTATGAGTGCCAAAAGTGGCGGATCTGTCCGGTAAAATATCTGACTGCGTGTCACCGCATCCCTAAGGACTGTTTGGCGAAATATTTGACTGCATGTCACTGCATAACAAACGACTGAAAGGATATAACTAGAGAAATCTCCACTGTGCTACTGAAAGCGTATGGCAAGCCGTTTTAGCATTTAAACCTTGTTCTGACTATCCATAAATATATGTAGAGATATCTCTAATTATATTTTGACTTGTCATAATTATAATTCGACTACTCAGATTGGAGATATCTGCAAATAAATTATGACTGACTAGTCATATTCCTCCATTAACTTCCATTGAAAAATATTTGCAGATATCTCTGAATAAGTTTTGACTAGTCACAATTGTAATTAGAGATATCTCCAAATGAATTTTGACTAGTCAAAATTCATTTGGAGATATCTACAACTGTAATTCGACTATTAGTAAATTAATTAGAGATATCTTCAAATATATTTGTAAATATCTCTAAGTATGATGAATTAAAGATATCTTGTTACTAGTCAAAATTCATTTGGAGATATCTCTAATTACAATTGTGACTAATCAAAACTCATTTAGAGATATCTGCAAATATTTTTCAATGGAAGTCAATGGAGGAATATGACTAGTCATAATATATTTGCAGATATCTCCAATCTGATTTCGTACTAGTACAATTGTAATTGCAGATATCTCTAATTGTCATTCTGAGTAGTGGAATTATAATTATGACTAGTCAAAATATAATTAGAGATATCTCTAAATATATTTATGGAGTCAGAACAAAGATTTAAATGCTAAAAAGGCTTGCCATAGAGAGCGTTTCTCACTGAACAGAGCAGCAGCGATGACGTAAGCGTGCCGAGGCCCAATATGATGTGAGCGCGGGCCGTCGGGGGAGACGGGAGGGGGGACAAGCGTGCTTTGGCCCGGTTCGAGGCAACTGTACCTAGTGTGAGTACGGCCTAAGTTTGACACCCAGTGGTTGAACTTGTGCACACCTGGTTAAAAACACACTCAAGTGCAGGTTGCCAGATTTACGACACCAACAGCAGTGTTCCTGACCATCTAGCTTATTGACTAATTTAGGGCTGATTTAAACTGTGTTCTTTCTGTGAGGAGTTTGCATGTTCTCCCTGCGCTCGCGTGGGTTTCCTCCGGGTGCTCCGGTTTCCCCCACAGTCCAAAGACATGCGGTGTATGCGTTTGTGTGTGAATGTGTGTGTGGATGTTTCCCAGAGATGGGTTGTGGCTGGAAGGGCATCCACTGCGTAAAAACTTGCTTGATAAGTTGGTGGTTCATTTCGCTGTGGCGACCCCGGATTAATAAAGGGACTAAGCCTATGTATTTAATTCAGACCAAATTTCAGACCTTGTTTTAATCATTTAAACATTCAGAAAACAAACAAACAAATAAATAAATAAATAAATAAATAAATAAATGGAGAACAAAGAGTGTTTATTATTCATGTTCTTGTCCTTTTATACAGTTTTTTTCAGAAAGGTGGCAGATAAAAATTGTCATTAATTTAATTTACAGTTAATAAAAAATAAAGATTAATTATTCACAAAAATTGTTACTAATGCATTTAATATTGTGAATTCAAATATAAAAACATTTGGAGCATGTAACTGCATGCAGATTTTATTTCAGGTGCATATCCATTAAAACAAACAAACAAACAAACAAACAAACAAACAAACAAACAAGCAAACAAACAAACAAACAAACAAACAAACAAACAAACAAACAAACAAACACTAATTCATTTAATCTTGTAGAATAAAACATTAATGTCAGTGAGCCAGTTATTGAGTGAGCCAGGCTTATTTTAGGATTACCTTATATTGTCAAAAAAAAGAAAGAAAAACACATTTTATCAAACGATCTGATTAAACATGGTACATTCTCACTTTTGGGGTCTTTGCTTCAGATCAGATCAAGCCTCAAAAGTCTCAAATGATTTGATGCACCACTGTCTAAATTATTGAACAGTGTTTCATGTAATTTGATACTACATCTGATCTGATAGACATTTTTACTGAAAGACATCAAGCTGAGAGTAACACTGCTGTAGTTACATGATGACATATCCAGTTTCACATCAGTGGCACAATACAGTCAGTGGCCTGCTTTCAGTGAACATGATCTGTGTCCCCAAGATTCTTGCTCTTTTTTGATTCTTGTTTTTTCCCACATAATTTAAAGGGATAGTTCACCAAAAAATGCCAATTTACTTACTATTTACTTACCCTCAAGGAGTTCCAATCCTTTATAAGTTTCTAAATTTCTTAAAGAAGATATTTTGAAAACAGCTTAAAAAACAAACAAAAACAAAACGGTCAAGTCTAGAAGAGACACTTCTGCGGCTGGAAGTTAAGAAAATAATGAATATTATTACAACAATACAATTATCATTCAGCAATAATTTTTTGAGTTTTGAGTTTTATATCCCTAGACATTGGATGTAAAAGTTATTGATGTCAAAACAGAATCAGGTTGATATTGAACATTGGCATCGAAAAATGAGTTTAAAATCATTACAGGACTTTACATGTTTTTGATGCCAATGTTAGATGTCGATGTGATGTCATTTTGACCTCAAGGTAGTCAATTCTATATGTCGTTTTGACATCATCGTGTCTGCTGGGATGGAAGTCATTGTTACGGATTCTATGACATTTTAAATGACCTCTTTTTGTGTTTAGCAGAGGAAAGAAAGTCAAACATGTATGGAAAAAGTAAAGGATGAGTAATTGATGACTGATTTTTTAGTTTCAGGCGAACTATCGCTTAAACTTCATAGTTAAGGTAGCCTTTTGAAGGGATAGTTCAGCAAAAACTGAAAATTATCTTCATTTAATCCTTATTCACTTGTCACAAACCTGTTTGAGATTCTCTCTTCTCTTGAACACACACAAAAAATATTTAGAAAAATACTGAAAACCTGTAACCATTGACTGTAGTTGTATTTGTTCTTTTGTACCATATGAAAGTCAGTGGTTACAGGTTTCTAACATTTTTCAAAACAATGTCTTTATGAGAAACTCAAAAAGTTTGGAACCACTGAGGGTGATTATTGTACATACACTATAAAAAATGTTTTTGTTGTTTCAACTTAAATAAAGTAAGTGTCCTTGCTGTCTTAAAATGTTACGTTTATTTCATTTAAAAAAAGAAGCTGTCATAAATCAGTTTAAGTGTGTTAAACCAGTTAAAGTTGACAGGACTTGACAATACATGGATGGATGTGGTTTAAGTTTAGTTCACTTAAATATTGAAGTTGACTCTCTCGTTCATGCACATTACATCCAATTTTGTTTATTCAGTTCACTTATACCACATGTCTTTGAGGGAAACCAGAGCAAACCCACATAAACATGCAAATTCCACACAGAAATGCCTCTTGGCTTAGCCCGGACTCAAACCAGTGACCTTCTTGCTGAGGTGACAGTGCTAATCACTTAGCCACCGTGGACCATGTTCATTTTATGGACTGTGTTTTATTTAATACTAAAAGGAGGTTTTTGTAGTCTGCAAATACAAATTTCACCACAGGTGCAGGTATCTGAGAAGAACCTCAGACAAACACGCACCACAGCATTACAATGAGAAAACGGTAGTCAGTGTTGTCAGATAAATTTTAATGTTTTCAAACTATTCAAAATCCTCCCAAAGCACTAAAAACACCTGAAATACACTTTAGCTACACACACTTGGTTTTTTGTTAATATTAAACATAAAATGCACATTCAAAATATCCTAACTGATTCCAAACCTGCCCAGATTTTCTAACCTGCTTAAGCCTTTTATACCAGCATAATCAAATACTAAACTTGCAGAACTTTCTGCAGACTTTATAAACCTGCAGTTTTATCCAAAAGTAAACAGATATAGGTTTAAGTAAAGGTACTACATAAAAAAAAAAATAATAATAATATATATATATATATATATATATATATATATATATATATATATATATATATATATATATATATATATATATTATTATTTTTTTTTTTTTCATTACATTTAGTACTCTTCAGTACTCTTTTTTAAGTGTAATAAGTTCAGCCAAGTAAAACTTTGATATTTAACTTATGTCAACACATTCAATCCAGAAAAGTTAGCATAACTCAAAATATTAAGTTGTTATAACACAATCACCACAATATTTTTTTACAGTGTAGTGAGTTAAATATTAGTTTTGGGTGAACTCTGGGTGGAAAATGATAGCAAAAACTATTTTCATGTAATTTTATCATTTGGATATATCCAAAGGAATCTTTTAAATATGTAATTTATTTAGGATTTTTTGAGTATTTTTCAGGATTCTTTGCCTTATTAGAGTTTAAACTATTTAAAAGGTCATTATTATTTGTTCAAAAGTTTAATTCTAACTTCTTCTGTAATTTAAAACTTGCCAAACATTTTTTATGTATTTATTTTAAACAGTCTAATTAACAGATTTCATATAAAAAATGCTTATAGATGTATTTCATCACTATACTAACAATAACATAAGAATCTGTCAGTTTGTACATCTCTCTCTTTCTGTTTCCACCAGGTCACATAAGGACATGTGCTGTGGATTCTATCTGCATATTTGTCAGCTGGTCTTTGATCCAGTTGGTGGCAGCACATCTTTTGAAGGCCTTAAGCACCTGTCTTCATCCTGAACTCCAGTAGGCCTATCACACTGTCTTATTCCATCGATTCTGCCTCTTCTCCTCCCTCGTGCCCCTTTCAGCCCTCCTGGAGTCCCCAGGGCCACTCGGCCTCCATGGAGAGCAGGGAGAGGGATGCGGGACCCTCGCCCAGGAGATTTGCCTCAATAATGGGAACGTGACGAAGGATCCCGTGCCTGCACTGGGTTTTCATGATGTCTCAACTCTCACAGGTACAGTAAGAGCTTTTGTTGCTGCTCACTTTTGCAAAGTGGTGACTGTTAGTTGTTGGGTCATCCATGCTGATTTATTTTTAGCAGACTATACTATGCCCTGTAAGGTCATAATTTTTGGACACATTAAAGTCTGTGTAAAATTACAATATACAATTCTTTTTTTCTAACGCACATTGTTATTCGTCAGGTGAACAATTAATCTGTTCAGGTTTATGCACTGAAAAAACATTGTTTTAGAAATCTACAATTAAAATCTGACCATTTGCTTCTGTGTTTGGAGTGATGGTCCTTCTTCGCTGATGTCATTTTTATGCTTTAGCCACAACATTTTTAACCACGCCCCTCTTACTGTTAGTTTACTATGAGGGAATGATGCACAAAAAGAAAGCCCCACCTCCTAATCAATATTCTGTTTCAGTTGGAAGTAGAGGTCTGCATTCCCGACACGACCAGATTTCTTGCTGCGCGGGAATACATTTCCGAATAAAGCGCGGAAGCGGTCGGTAACTGGTGTATTTTGAACGGGAGCAGGCGGTCTAACAATATCACTCCCAACTCCCGAGCAAGTGAGCACTCGAATGTATGTGTGTGAATGAGAGAGCTTGATGCTGGGTTTAGCTTGTTTTTGCTGTCTCTGTGTGTGTATGTGTGTGAATGAGGGAGAGATCTTAATGCTGTGTGTGTGTGTATGTGTGTGAATGAGAGAGAGCGTGATGCGGTCTGTGTCACTTGCTTGGTGTTGTGTGTGTGAGTGTGTGTGTTCATACAGACAGCTTGTTAAAGGGCCATGAAACCCCCTCGTTTCAGCAGGGTGTTTTCACATCTCTACTTTGGAAAAAGTCAGAAAAGTGGGTGTGTCCAGCTATGTTTAGGGGGGAGTGTCGGAGGAAGAAAAGAGGCTTGGTGTGGGAGTGTCTATTTGGGCGTGCTGAATTTCAGAGTCAAAACACACAACCACAGCGGACAATGTGACTGTGTTTACATGGACATCTGTTGTCGAATTATTTGCCAAATTATTAAATGGTGGACTTTAACTGCAGTTTGGCTCTTTCATTCAGGGAATTCATTCATGTCCCTCCCGACAAACGAGATATTTGATTCGAGGATCTGCTCTAAGCGTGTATTTTTTATGCAATGTTTGATACCGCACGGCGAATGAGAGAAAAAAAAAAACTCAGCATTTCCCGGAAACTTAGATGCACACGGCAGGTAGCGTCAAAAACCCGCTTGTGTTATTCCGGTCACAAAATCCAACACGAGGTAATAGTTTGGTTGTAACTGTTAGTGCTAACTTGTTTACACTGGTGCAATAGTTTGTTTGATACAAATAAAATACGAACTGAATAAACAAAGAGCACTGGTCGCTCACTTACCAAATCTGTAAAGACAGGACAATCCACAGCAACTAGAGTCGCGTCTTTATTTAGAGGAGACTACAAGCGAATCCAGATCTCAGCGTTTGCAGATGAGAACAGCTCTCAGGTAAACAATAATCCTCCTTAGACACGTAAGTTATTGTTGTCGCGTACACTGTTAATCCACGTGTGACGTGTGAATCTGCGCTCTCACAGAGAGAAAATGAAAACAAAACTTAACGGCAGCAAACAATAAAAGCAACACTTCACGCTTGTTTTGCCAACACAACGTGGCGTCTCTGCCGTCTACACTCTGACAGTAATGAATATTAATGAAGTTGCACAATAGAGCGCGCTGATTGGTTTGAACCAAGCCTTACTCATGCATTAATGCAACACACTGTAAGACGTAATAAGACTCACTCTGGCACAGACGCCCAGTCTGCACGCTGGAATACAACGCTATTATGTCATGACCGTGACGCAGCTTCAAAAATTCGTTTCAAACCGGAAGTACGAATTTGCTTGAAATAACGCAAAAACAACCAATTTACACTTTTTAGTGAAATATAGGTGTCCTAATAGTGTTTTTAGCAGTGTGGGACACATATACGACTGTCAACAGCTCAAAAAATGTGTTTTGGTGTTTCGTGACCCTTTAAAGGCTGTCTGGATTCTTTGCGGGAATGAGCGCGGCGGGTAGAAAACGGGGCTGGTTAGGCAGTGGAACAACGAATGCTGAACATAAGCGGGGGTGGTCGAGTTCGGACAAAAACCGCAGGAGCGGGATTCAAAATTTTGTCCTTTGCAGATCTTTAGTTGGACGCACATCAAAATACTTGAATAAATGTCTCAGCAACTTCCAGGTCACATATATTTTAAAGGGATATTTCACAAAAAAATTATTCACAATATTTAATATTTATTTATCATTTAAGATATTGCGATATTTTAAAAGTATATTTTAAACATTGCTGGAAACCAGCAGACTTTCATATACTTCTTTTTACCTACGTTGGGTGCCAATGTTTTAGTTTCCAACATTTTTCAAAATGTCTTCTTTTGTGTTTAACAGAAAAGGTTTAGAACTATTTGATTGTGAGAAAATATTGATAAAACTTTTATATTCAGGCGAACTATACCTTTGAATTCATGCTTGATGTTACAAAACACTTGTTTTTAAAATCGAGTTGTCTGTTCATTAAATTATTCAAAAGGTTTCTAAATTATAGACTAAATTAGAGCCCCGCATGAGCCTTAAATCTAAGCTCTAGCCCGGCCCTGGCCTGAGACACACAGCCTGTAGCTCTGCCCTTGTCCAAGAGCTTATAAAAATGTTTAACCCGAGTCCGACCCGAAGCCGTCTTTTTTCCGCCAAACAGCTTATACTGTTACAGCCATTAAAATAGACCAGATTTGTTTTAGATAGAAAGTTTATGTTATTTTTTATCAGAATAATTTAGAGGAGTGTTTGGAGTTTTTTTATTAGTTTTTTAAATGTAAGTGTAAGTTATTTGTATATATAGGTAGTATGTGGTTCACAGTGAGTTTACTCAACTTACAATTTGTGCATTGTATATAACCAGTAGGCTCATCATTTAAAGTTGTCACTATTTGAAAACTTGCCTTTTCTCTAGCGTTTTAAGTTCACTATTGGTAATATTTCTTTACCATTGCACGTGGCTGGAAACCTCTTTGCACAAGGCATAACAGGCACTTCCGGACTGCACGCATTAGATCTCATTAAACTTTTGAAATTTTTTTTTTCTAAAGCAGGCTTGAAGCTCGATATGCTTGCTAGCCATGACGTGAAAACTGGCCTGAAGCCCAGCTCAAGGGGCATAAAAAAGTCGGGCCCTCTGATGGGCTTAGGCTCAAATGCAGGGCTCTAGTGTCACCTAACCAGCGATCGCTCTCCAGAGATCGCTGGTTCTCACACGAACACTTCCGCCTTCCCCTGGACTACATATTCATAAATGCTCTCCAGACACTCACGCCTGCTCACTCATCTAGACTGATTACATTCGCATCACCTGAGGACTTTCAGAGACTCATTAGAAACCCTTCATAAGCCACTCATTTACTCATCCAGTTTGCCGAGTCTTGTTTGCTGTTAACTATAAGTGACATTACAACGCGTTTCTCCCTCTCTTGTTTATCCGTGTTTAGATCCTAGCCTTGTATTCCCTGTTATCCTGTTTAGCCGCCTGCCTTACGACCTGTTGCCTGTTATACTGACTACGATTATGGACTGCCTGAATATACCCGTTTGCACCTGTTTGATCATTGCTTGCCTGACGCTGAATAAACCTGCATTGTGGATCTTACCTCCAGTTGTCTCTGTCACTCCCCCGGTCGTTACATCTAAACTGAATGTCTTTTACATGATCATTTAGAATTCATTTAAATTACCACCACAGGAATAAATTATGTTTTTAAATATATTAAAATATAAATTATTTGCTCATTTAAGAAGTAATTTTGCCCAATATTACTGTAATTACAGCATTTTGTTTTATATTTAAAAATATTACCCACCCCAAAAGCAACAGTTCATTTTAAATGTATTCTTTTGTCTTTCTCGTGTAGTTTAGTTTATGTCTACAATCCGAATATTCTTCTTCTTTACTATTATCACATAGCAAATTTAAACTATTTTAGTAATCTACCATTGTAGCAATAGATCTAAAATGAAAACCTTTGCTTTATGCAATTCTACATGTTACAGTATAGTAACATGTACAATGGTATGCTACGTTATTGTTACATGACCTTGATATACTTCATGTGACATTTAGTTATCGTTTTTTTTTTTATTCAGTTTAGTGTCATAAAGTTAAAAAGTAGCATAACTCTTGCAGAATGATATGTAATAAACCTCTCTAGGTCATTCATCACATTTATTGTATGATACAATGTTGTGTACGGTATGTGCGCTCTTTTGAGTAGCTCTTCTGCATTTACTGTCTATGTACATTGCAAATTTGCATATTGGGGTTAAACTGTAGCACAAAGTAGATGCATGTGTATTATTCATTCATTCATTCTTTTTCCGTTTAGTTTGTTAATGAACCCCCAACTGTTCCAGCAAATGTTTTACGCAGCGGATGCCCTTCCAGCTGCAACCCATCACTGGGAAACATCCATACACACTCATACACACACATACGCTACTGGCACTTTAGTTTACGCTATTCACCTATAGGGCATGCCTGGACTGTGAGGGAAACCTGAGCACCCCGAGGAAAAACACACAAATACCGGGAGAACATGCAAACTCCACACCGAAATGCCAACTGACCCGAGATATATCCAGCTGCAGAACCGCAGAACACACAATCTACCACACACGATTTAGGCAAAACATATATGATAACTAACTAACTCCTTAGGAGCATTATCGCCACCTATTGAATTTCACAAACATGGTTTCCCATTTCAGTCATTATTATTATATTGTAACAATCATATTAACATTTCAGCAGTCTCTGAACTTAAATTATGTAAGTAAAAATAATTGGTTAAAGACACTTATGTCTTTATTCACCTGTCCTCATAAAGAAAACATTATAGACTGTCTAATTGTAGGATTAATAAACTAATTCAGGATATTAATATAATCATACTTGGTTAAAATCAATTTGTTGTAAAATATAAAAAGCAAACAATAATGTGTCACATTAAAATTAATTACTATGGTCAATCATTTAAACAATATATAATATAGTTATTATATATACATATATATATACTTGGTTTTTAATTAATTATTAATGGTTAATTTGTTTCCATTGCTAAATTTTGGTTTAAAAACAATATATTGCTTACTATAAACTACTACAGTATTTAATGTGGGAAATCATTAATTAAAAAGTTAAAATTAAGCAAAAACACGCTATTAAAACGCTTGAGTAAAATATTAATATAGTGTTATACATTTATTACATGTAAAAAGATTTGATTACATGTACAATTTATTGTTGCCTATTATAAATAATTCCATTATATCGATTAAACCTGTCCAGTTTAGATCTTTTAGCAAGGCCAGCAAACGAGTATCTGCCATATTGACTCTGTCAGATAATAATGATCATCTATGATGACTGATAGAAAACTGTTCAGTCTATTATGTTGAATGGCGATCGGAAACAACGCTCCCCATTCGCCCGTCTCGATCACAGTATTTGTATTTATTAACCATATATATCAAAAAATAACGACGACGATGTCCAAGAAGACGTTAAGAACATTTACATCCGTTGTAACCACATATGGTTTGCTTAGATTGTGTGTGCCAGATTGTGTGTGCCTAAAACATGTGTAGTTCTGCGGGCCTGCAGCTGGATATTATTGGACTGACCCAGCTGAGGCTCGAACCAGCGCCCTTTTTGCTGTGAGGTGATCGTGCTACCCGCTGCGCCACTGTGACAGCCCTCATGTATATTATACAGTAGTATATATACTATACTAGTTAGAGTAATACACTCTTGTCATAACCCAACATTAGGTCAAATATGGACAAATCCAAAATTGCGTTAATTTTAATTTAATTTGTGAAAACTAAATTAAATTTTTAACCCAACAGCTGGGCCTGTCCATATCTGACCCAACATTGTGAAACAACCCAGCACTTTTAGAGCGTATGCTTGAATGCTTATCTCAACATATCCTGACTATTTTAAATGTAGTTGTAATGCCTAGTCTTCCCCAAACATCAATTGTTTGTAAAGGAAATCCATTTTTGTATTATAAGCAGCTTAAATGTGCTAAGTGAGGTTAGTACAACATTGTTTACACCACCTGCAATTCACTGATATGAGTTTGTTGTGTTACCGTCATATCAGAGCACAAAGCAGACAAAGGCAGGAAAGGTGGAACAAACCAAAGGAAGGACCAGCTTGTGTGCTGTTTTCTAATCATGGTCTATTTTGAAAGCTCATAATGCATGCTGTAGCTTTAGTTATAGCATTCAACACTTACTTAAATATGAGTTTTAAATCTGTCTTTCATTTGAAATGTTTTAAAGCCTGTTAAACATAAAATATTTTAAACACCGTTGGAAACCAGCAGGCTTCAATATAATTCCTTATTTGAGTGCTAGTGTTTGTCAGTTTCCAACATTTTTCAAACTAGCTTATTTTGTGTTTGACAGAAAAGGTTTGCAACCAGCCGTTTGATTAAATCCCATAGACATATTTTAAAAGCTAGCAGTAGTTTACACAACATAATTATTAATTGTTTGTACAGCCTTTTATGTTTTCTTGTTTACAGTTGTGTAACAGCACAATTACAGTTGAAGTCAAAATTATTAGCCCCCCTGAATTTTTAGACCGCTTGTTTATTTCTTCCCCGATTTATGTTAAACCTTCATCACAGGTTTATTTATATATTATAAGTCATTCTGCATTTTTAGATCGAACTATTAATTGCACATTTAGAGCAGTGAAAGTTAATTCTTCACTTTTTGTTTATCACACACAGACCTGTGCTCCAGTGTGGATCTACCAGAGGTGGAGATTGTCAGTTTGCTGACTGAAGAATTACCCAAATACACTCTGCGGGCAGACCATGTGTTTGGGTACGAGCATGATGACTGGCTGCACACACCTCTGCTGCCACCAGAGGCCGCTCTGGGACTCACACACGAGCAGACCGACGAAACACTCAAGTACTTCTGTGAGTCTACACCTTCCTTACTATTTATGCCAGGGGTTCTCAACTTTTTTCACTTCGAAGCCCACCTGCTTCCCTAAAAAATCTTTACAGGCTCATACTGATTGTCTTGAGAAAATGCTCATTTTAAAGCTTTATTTATTTGCAAAACCTTTCTTTTGCCCTTTATTGCCCCCTTTTTAGATAATTTTGTTAAAAAAAATAAAACAGTATAAATACAAGGAAATGTAAAACTCCATAAAAACAATTAAAACTGTTGAAACACATTGATCTGAAGACGGTTCAATACTATCTGGATGCAGCCTTTATGATGCAAGCTGAGACTGCATCACTTAGCGATGCAATGTCAGACACAATGCACTCAAATGGAGTGAGTTACATCACTGTGATGGGTAGGGTTAGGGGTGGTGTTAGATGAGCGCGTTAAAAAGCATTGGATGCAGCTCAGATTGCACTGCACCAGGTCTGCATCCAGACCCCTCTCAGACGGTTTGGTTTGTAGCTTGACATTATTGGAGTTCACTAACAGGAACAGCTGTTCACTACTGAAACACCACCAAGTCTCGCTAGATCCTCCTGTATGGGCACATGTCTGTTATAAAACACACGCGGGACTTTACTTTGGACGAGGGAGCTTGCGATCGCTCTTGCATGTGTCTATATTTGAAATAAAGAACTTCTTCAGCTGATGATAATAAGATGATTATTGAAGTGCTTCTGACATCCGATCCTTTCAGAAACAAACGTGAGTCAAGCGCGAAAAAACAAAGGAGAAGCCTGAAAAAACGAATGAGCGAATGATTCTTTCACCAACCTAAAACATGAACAAACTGCCATGTATAACTATTATCATCGCCTTTTGGACTATTATGAACTGGGAATGACGTAATTATTTCTGTGTGGAGTTGGCATGTTCTCCTTGCGTTTGCGTGGGTTTTCTTCCGAGTGCTCCGGTTTCCCCCACAAGTCCAAAGACATGCGGTACAGGTGAATTGGGTAGGCTAAATTGTCCATAGTGTATGAGTGTGTATGGGTGTTTCCCAGTGATGCGTTGTGGCTGGAATGGCATCCACTGCGTAAAAACGTGCTGGATAAGTTGGCGGTTCGTTCTGCGAGCCGAAAAGAAAATAAATGACGGAATTACTTTCTAACAGAGGTTACATGTGCTGGAGAAGATTAAAGATACAGATGAGAGGTTTGCACTGGTTGTAGGCTATATGTTGCATGTTGTTTTTGAACCCAAATAAGGATTAAATGTAGGCTGTGTGTAGTTTTTTCTGTAATTGGTAACAAATCAGAAACTTTAATGCTGTGTTCACACCAGACGCGGAACGGTATTTGAAGTATTAGCACATAAATAGCCACTTGAACATTGAGTTTGCTTCATTCGCCGTCAAATTCACTTCAGAACAGACGGCGATTCGTGTGATGAGCAGGGCTTCTGTCTGCCCGTTGACTCTAGCTTTGTTGCTAAATGGCTAACATGCATTTTATTGAGAAATCAACTGTGTTTATGTGCTTTATGGAGGCTGAAAAACAGTGTCGATATGTTTAGGGCCGTGTCTCAGTCCACTAGATCCTTTCAGAGGGGCATGCAGCTCTGTAAGCTCATAAACTCCTCCAGAAACTTAACCTGTATGATGGAGGCTTTCAGTGGTGCTTCTGACTGAGCCAAGCCCAGTTTGATGAACTGTTGCCAGTGTCGGCTGGAGGATTTTCCCCGGGACACCAACAACAGGCGCTACGTCACAATTCCGCCCCCACAAGAGCAAGCTCCTGATTGGTTAACGCATGAACTCGAGCGTCAATCGCGCAAAACGTTCAGTTCGCACTGCGCCATTTGCGCTTTATTGCGCCATTTGCACCGCGCCTTTTGCGTCATTCACTCTGCGCTATTCGTGCAAATTGCGCTGTGTCATTCGCGCGTATCGCGACGCAGGATGTCTATTCGCCGTTTGCATTGACTTAATATATAAATCACTCACTCTTGACGCTTCTTCCACATCTGGTGTGAACACAGTATGAGGGTCTGTATGTGTTCATATATGTTGCTTTTATTTATTTATTTCATATAATCGCAGACGTTACGGTAGGCCGTTTCGCACTGATCTGCAGCTATAATCAAATCTATAATGCAGCTATAATCAAATCTTGTTCATAGAAAGTTTAGTAATAAACATTTATAAAAAAGCATTTATGTGTATAAAACATCAGTTTTGTGAGAAGTGCTTCTCATATGATAGTGAATGACCAATACAGCTTTGCTTTGACTTTTGCTCGAGCGAGAATGACATTGACTGAAACATTTTGTCGAACACAGAATGTGTCTATAAAGTTTCAGCTCAAAATACCCATCAGATTATGTATTATAGCCTACAGAATTTGTCCATTTTGGTGTCTGAATACAGTGTAGTTGTTTTTGTAGCCCACCGTTTCAACGTGCATGTCTGCTTCTCATCATGTGTTACAGCAGATAAACAGCACAGAGACAGGCTCTGATAAAGCTGAAATACCATTTAGTATTACACATTAGTAAAAAATACCAAGTAAGTTCATTTCATGTTTTTGTGGTGGACTTTATTCAAGCCTTTCTGAAATGATGAGTCTTACACACATGCCGTTTGCAATATATGCGCTTTACTAACACTATGCGGCCATGGTAATTACAGCGGTTAAGAGTTAGATAGCGATTTTACTGTCTTCATTAGAAACATGCTCGGTTTTAAAAACGTTTTACTTACTTATAAATATTACAGAGGGTTGGAACAGATAATTTAATTTCTATTAAAAAAAAAAAAAACATGTTCTGTGGACATGTGTACAAATAATTATAGAAACATGGTGCCTATAAATAAATTCGGTGGGCGAGGAAAACTGCACTCCTACGTCATGTTGTGGTGGGCCTCATAATCACTGGGATTTAGGTCCTATTTTAACAGCAGGAATTTTTTAAAAAATAGACTTGTGTTTACATCACTCCAATATGACAGTAAACACACTATACATACAGACAGTTCTGTCCAAACAGCTTACAAAAGTAGATTTCCATCATAGGTGCCTACAGACTCTATATAGACTCCCAATATACCTAATTTTTAATGTCACTCCCTTTTGAATCATATTTATCCTCAATTATCTTAAAATAATTCTGTTTCATTTATTAGTTTACTTTGCTAAGTTAAATGAATAATTGCATGAAACATCACACAAATTTCAGTAATAAAAATGACATTTCTGTCTGTCCCATGTTCTGGTCAGCTCTGTTACATCTATTATTATAAAACATAACTATCTGTTAAGCACTGATAAAAATGTACTTGCTTCAAGTGATGTCTTTGATTCATTTGAACAAAATGTTTAGGATGCAGCAATAGTAAATTTATTTTTGTTAACTCTGTTACTTTATAAATCATGATATACAGTATGTAATATAATGAAAATGTTTTAGACATTCCATGCGTATCTAAAGCTAAAGCACAAAATGGTGAAAAATGTCAACTCTGTTATTGTCAACTGTTAGAGGTTTACATAGTTTAACAATAATTAAAACAGCAGTTAGCATGATCAAATATCCGGACAAAATTAAGCATTTTGCATTAATTTACATATAAATTAATCCAGTTATTAATTTATCAATACCAATTTCATTATACTCAATGCCATTGCATTTTGAGAGAAATGAATAGAAAATACTTGAAATGTACCTGCAATTCTAGAATGAGTCATAAGTAGGCAAAGTAGAATGCAGTCATATTCAAGAAAATCTGCTGCTGTCGACCAAGCATCAATCAAACAACCCAGAATGGTTATTTAGTGACTTTGAACATGGTATGGTTGTTGGTTACAGGTGAAGTGTCCTGGGGTGCGTTTCCCAAACAACGACGTAAATCTTGTGATAGTACAAACTATCATAGAACAATGCATAGTTTTGGAAAAGAGCGATGTAGTGACGAATGTTTACCAAAACCTGTAGTTTCTCCACGTTTGAACCATGTTAGTTATATCGTAATGCCCATAATGATGCTCTAAACGGGGTGGTAACAACTTCTTTAGAAAAGAACCTCATCATTTCTTTGTGCAAATTATATTGTTTTACACACACTCACATAAAAAAAATTCCAATATTAGTTTGGGTAAAAACATGCACTCGCTTTCCATATTAATTGAAATATATGTAAATGGCACATATAGGACCAATGTTTCCTTTACAAATATTATTGAGAACATTACATAGTCTATTCTAAATTAACATAAAATCACTTACAAGGGCTGCCACATATTCTAATGTAATATAAATCATATAAATAAATAATGAGGCGATTTATTAAAAAAAATTATTTAATATTAATTGTTAATTAGGAAATGAAAAAAATCATTCTTTAATCATAATATTAATAATTAGGATGATGATGATGATTATTAATATTATTAAGTAGGATATTGTTTATTTATTTTTTAAGTCTACTTTTACAATTTGACATTTGAAAACACGCAGTTTGCAAATGTTTGTTGGAACGGCGAATTTGGGAAATGCAATATCAACGGACTGTGTTTGTAACGACACAACCTGCGACCTTAGTTGGCTAACAATGGTTTTTGGAAACGCACCTCTGAGCAGTTAAATCTGGTGTATAGGTGTTTTCACATGCAACAATGATAGTGGTCTGAAAAATTTTAAATATCAAGTTATGTGGGCAAAAATACAATGATGATGACAGAGAAGAATAGCCAGACTATATTTTGAGCTGATTGAAAGGCTTGAATAACACAAACAAACACTTGTAACTGTATGTAGAAGAACATCTATGAACAAACCTTGAAACAGGTGGGCTACAGCAGGAGAAAAGCAGACTGGGTGCCTTTTCATGTTGTTAAGAACTGGAAACTGAGGCTGTCATTGCTGACGAATGTTATTATAACACTTCAGTAAATCTATTTCACAAAGAATTGAGCCAGTATTTATTGCCTTTAGTACAATGACAAACACAACCTGGCTATTTAAT